CCCCTGCTTTCACCCCCCCCCCATTATCCAGACAGCACAGCAGGCATCAAGACAGCAGAAAATGTCCACTCTGGCCAGCATCAGTGATTGAGGAGCCCTGACTTGCTCTCCTCCATCATTTTCCTGCTTCCCCTTGGCATCAGTTGATCTGATACCTACAGGTGGATTTTGTGGAAGAGCTTAGCAATCCCATGTTGAGTCCAGTCTTTTCCCAGATGTGGCAAGATGTGCCCAAGAGCATCTGACCTAGAAAGAAAGGAGACCAGGTCAGGATGATCCAACCTGATAGGCATCCAGATGATGTGGTCTGTGGTCCCTCCTGGCAGCTTACACAAGCCATGAAAGGACAGTCTCCCCCAACAGGAGGGAGCAGGGATGTGAGGTGGGAGAAAGGCTCTTTACTTGGTGATGGTGCCATCGATGTCAGAGATCACCACCTTGTCATCCCAGTTCCACAGGTAGATGGTGGCCTCGCAGCGGCACGTGCCCTGGTACTGAGTTGTCACACTGAATGCCACCTCGTTGGGGCCATCCTGCAGGTTCAGCCTTCCCTGGGGCAGAAGGGGGAGAAGAGTGATACCACCAGACTGCCACCTGGCCAGAGCAGACACCCCAAAAATCCCTACAGGGTGGCCACCCAGGGTGAAATACCTGGATGCCCTATAAAAGCATGGGGTGAGGAGTAGAGAAATCCCTGCTCATGGGTTCTCTCACCCCCCACACACAGGCAGGCAGAGAAGGAGGGAAGTACATACAATTTGCTCAGAGGAGAGTCGCAGTGACTTCTTGTAGGTTGGCTGAGATTTCTGTGCAGGGGCATCCTCTGCCAACATCTCCCCAGGGTGCAGGGGCTCATCACTGGATGGCACCTCTTCCCGCCTAACAAGGAAGGGAGGAGCATGTTGACTTTACCCTGCAGACCACAGCTTTCCCCATGAGCACCAGAAGATATCCAGAGGGGACCCAGGACAACCCATCCACCAAAACTGTGGAGGAGCTTGGCTGGAAGGGGGTCAGCCAGAGCCTTAACTGAGCTTTCTCCTCTCATACAATAAGTGACTTGGGAGTAACTGGTCATTTAGGAGGGGAGGAGATCCAGAACATGCCTAGATCCCTAAATGCAACCTGGGAGAGAGGCACTCACCTCTGCTCAGCAGGGTCATGCTGCAGTGTCTCCACGTTGGCATTCCCTGGCCTCAACTGCTGCAGGCAGAGAGCAGTGTCATGAGCACCCCAGTGCCACGGGCAGGAGCTGCTTTGGAGCAGTGACACCAGCAAAGAGGTGGCAACGCATCCCTCTGCCTTCCTGGGGACATTGCCCCATGGAAGAGGAACAACAGCCTGATGCTCTGGTGGGGAAGGGAGTCTAGCAAGCACACATGGTGCCTGAGCTGTGGCAGGAGGGACACAAAGTCCACTTCACAGCATCACCAGTTCTTGGTAACTCTTGTTAATGCTGCTCAGACACTACAGAAGTCACCTTCCTGCCACAGCCCTCTGGTCACTCTCATACTCTGCCTCAGGCCACCCCCAGGACACTGCTGCTCTCCTATTCCCACCCCTGCCAGCCACCAGGATGACTCCTGTGCCCTCAGGACACAGTTGTCACAGCTACCACTGCCAGCACCTCCTCTGCTGGGAATTCTCTCCTCCTCCAGGAGAACCACCACCTGCTGCCTTTCTTGGGCATCTTCTCCTTCACCAGTTGATCAATGGTGCCCTGTGAATGTAGCAGAAGATGGGATGAAATTAGTCCTCAGCCTCAGGAGGCTCAGGTGCCAACAGGCTCAGGAGACCCTTGTCCAGGCAGGGTTTTCCTTTGCAGAATTATCCATGGGATTAGATGAGGGACACCTGCCACATGGTGAGCTGAGATGGTTTTGGGGGTGAAGAGCACAATGATTTGTTCCCTTGGGGAAGTTGGGGGGAGGTGGAAGGGTGGGAGGAAATGAAAAAAGTATGGATGCTTTATTCCATGCAATCCCAGCCAGGTCTACACAGCCCTGGAACAGACTCATGTAGTCCCAAATCCTCCTGTCTGCCAAGGCCCCTGGCTCTGGCCAACCTTGCACAGATAGAACCACCACAAAAGGAGATGTTTGAAACTGAAATCTCTGCTCTCCAAGCATCAGAGTTACCCAGGCACCTAAAATCCAGCCTGAGGTACCTCTAGGAGAAAGGAGAGATCTCAGGGGCTGGAATGTTCAGCCCTGCCCCAGGCTGCCTGCAAAGCCCCATATGGACAGCTTGGGCTCTTGCAGCCCCACTGCATCCTTCCAGCCCTGCTGAGAAGCATGGAGAGAGGGAGTGAGCTTGTTGTGCCACTGACCTCTGGAATGTTCCTCTGGAAAGCCTGCAGAGACAGGACCATGGGAGCAGCCACTGCCCAGTTGTAATACCTGGAAGAAACAAAAGTGATGGGAATATCATTGATCCTGCAGCATGGCCAGAAGGTCCCCTCCCACGACTACTGCAGTATTATCATTATCTTGGAGTCACACTCCTACAGGAATGGTTCTGTAGGGACAAGGAGGCCATACTGGTCACCTTGGCATGCAGCAGCATGAAGAGCAGGCTACTCACTTTCTGTTAATCAATATCACCAGGTTTGGGTCATCAATGAGTCCTGGATTCTCAGCAAACTGCTGGTAGGTGACCACGTGCTCCATGAACTTTTCTGGTGGGACAGAGGTTGGGTCATGCCACTGGTGTACATCATGGATTCCAGGACACCAGATTCCCCCTCCCCTCCCACCTACCATAAGAGATCTCCCTGCTGCCCCCCAGGCCCCCACACAGAGACAGGGCAATTGCAGGCATGAAATCTGAGTCTGAGTCCATGGGGCTGGGAGCAGGCAAGTCAGATGGCAGCTGGACACACAGAGGCTTGTTGGGGTCTGCCACAGGCTTTGAACTCTGCTCCGTGTCACTACCAGCAAGAGAAGAAATGGTGGCAGCATCAGGCTATAGGCTTAGACACCTCCATCCTTTGCTGGAAGGGAATTGCTCAAGAAGGTCTGAGCAGCTTGGCCAGCTGAGGCAACTCATACCTCCTGGGGAAATAGAGAGCCACCTGCTCCTCATCCAGGCTGGAGAGGTCTTCCAGGTAAACATCACTGGGACCCAAATGAGGACTTCTCTTGGTGGATCCTCAATGCACAGACAGAAAGGAGAGAGCTTAACTGAATCACCTTTCCAACCATCTCAGCACCCATCAAGAAAACTAACAGCATCTTCCTCTATCATATCCATATCATATCCAAGCCCACCTGCCTCAGAGCAGCAGCACCCTCAGAGGGCTCCACATCTGCCTGAACCTCTGGGACAATTGACCCTCCTCCCTCCTGTTTCTCTTGTGGGGCTGAGGAGGCCTCCACAGCACTGGGGATGTCCTTCAGCTTGGGGAGGCTGTTCCTACCCTGGCATGCAGTTGTTGGCTCCACAACAGAGGAACAAGGTGCACCCTGATGTCCTGCTGGCCTTGGATCTTCTTCCACACCTCCAGAGGAGGCAACAAGGTGGCTTGCTGGTGTTGCAGAGACAGTAGTTGCTGCAGTAGCCAAGGTCTTTGTGAACTTGGCTGGTTCAACTCGTTCCAGTTTATTCACCTCAATGAAAGCAGAACAACAAGTTTTAGGACAGGAAGTTGCCTGAAACATCAGGAAGAAAAGGACAACTCCTCTAAGACCACCTGGCCACAGCCTCCTCCACTTTCTGCAGTCCTTTCAGACATCCTCTTCTCAAGACTTGCTATAGAAGAACAAGAGCAGGAACTCACCTGAGGGAGCCTTCCCCAGGTCCATTGCATGTGGGATTCAGCTCCTAGAGCAAAACCCTCCTGTAGTTTGATCTCCAGCTCAGAGTCACTTCTGGCAGAAGATGGATGGCTCAGGGTAGGGCTAGAGGAAGAGAAGGGAGTGTTGGACCTCATGTACCCCATGCTTTCCTGTCACTGCATGGACATTTAGGGCCAAGAACCCTGTAAAGTTGTTTTTCCATACAGTCAGTTCTGCCCCATAACACTCACATCTGAGCAAGACCTACAGGAAGCTGAGGCTCCAGGAAGCCAAGTGCTGAGCCACTGGCTGTCCAGAAGCAGCTCAGAAGAGGCAGGAGAACCCTGAGCACACAGGCTTCTTACATCTGTGGCCACAGCCAGAAGTGTCCCTGACCATCTCCGAGCTTTCCTCTAGCCACACCACATCATGCCAGGAAAACCCTCCTCTCCCAACACCCCCAAATCCCTTTTCCTTACCACCTTCCCAGCAACAGGGCACATCCCCTGCCCTCACTGAAGCCAAGAAGATCTCCTTGGCTCTGCTCCTCACCTGTCCACAGAGACCAGCTCCCCATCAGAGTATGGGTGCATCACTGGGGACTCTGATGACCCCATTTCTTCTCTGGGGAGGTCAGGGAAGGAGAAATACACTGAATCACTGCAAAGGAGGAAAGAGGTCAGTTATTCTACTCTCTGGCAGCAGCCTCCTTACCTGCAGAGCTGGCAATACCCAGCTTCACCATTTCTTCCCACTGTCTTTCTGCTCCCCAGGGGCCTGGGCTCCAACTCAAAACACCCCCCGTGTTTCAGTGCTGCTGAGCATCCCCAGCAGAACCTGCAGGCTTGACCAACCACATCACCCTGCCCAGACCAAGCTGCTCACCTGGGAGCTGGCAGCTTGCACGGCTCCTCCACAGACACCTCCTTTTTGGTCTCCTCACAGCATTCTAGTTCAGAGTCCACCACCTCCTTCCTCTTGAGCTTCCTCCTGCGCCGCCGCCTCTTGCGCAGGGCGGCTTCGGCACCTGAGGGCTCCTGCCCACAGGAGGAAGGACCAGCATCCTCCAGGCTCTCCTCACTGGGGATGGGGGACGTGCAGAGGCAGGAGGGGATGCTGCCCTGAAACAGGGATGGAAGAGCTCCTCAGATCCAGTGTCCTCTTTTCCAGTCCAGCAGCTCACAGCTCTTGTCTGTGCAATCAACACCACCAAGCCCTCAGCTTGGAAGTGATGTTGTGGTCAGACCCAAAAGGAAAGGTTTCATGGATGCAACATGTGAATAAAAAACCCCAACAAACCATGAAAGAACCAGGGTTGTCCAGCCACAAGCCAAAGACTTTTCTTTAACATAGGCAAGAAAAGGCAGACAGGAGGTGGCACCATGAGACCAGAATCACAACAACTGCAAACTCAAGGATTCAGCTCTAGAGCCCTCTCCCTGCTCTCAAACCCAGCCCAAACCAGCAGCAACCACAAGTCAGCCTGGGAGAGAGCTGCCAGGATTTCCAGAAGCCACAACTAGTCTCATCCTGCTTCCCAGTAAGGCAGGCAGCCTGTCACAGCATCTGGCTCACTCCCACCCCTGTCACAAGATCCCCCAAGAGACCAAGCTTTGAGACATCTGCCTGGCTAGTCAACAGCCATTCCCAGGGAGGGAGGACAGTCTAGGATGCAGATATTTGGACTAATGCTCCCTCTTGGGGTGCTCCACTGCTCAGATCCTCCACACTGGTTATAAGATCCTTTGAGCAGGTACCTTTGTGGACACACAAAACATCAGAACGGATAGTGGAGTCACTCTGGGGAAGAAGAGCAGGTCAACCCTGTTCTTTTCCCCTCAAGCCTACACTTCCAGGTGGTCACAGCAAGACACAGAGCAGCAGCAACTTTTCATCACCAACCTCATTCTCCTCTGACTCCTGGACAAAGAAAGCCTCTCCATTGTCACCCAGCTTCATCTGCAGGTCCACTGGCTCCCCATTGATTTCAATGTCAACCTGGCAAGGGGCAGAAGAAGCCACTGAACCCACTTACCCACCAGCATGCAGGAAGGCACTTCCCCAGGGAGGGGCTGGGTGGGGGTTGCTCACAGGGCTGACAGCCACCCAGCCTTTGTGGCAAGGGCCATCTCCCACTTTTCCTGGGAAGCACCATCTTCCCCAGAAGAGCGATGGGTTCCCTTTGGAGCCTCCCCTCCAAAAATGGGCAAGCACGACTTTCCAGCAGGGCTCCCGTTCCCCTGAAAGTTCTTCCCAGGTTATGGAAGATCCCAGGTCTGGAGACACCAGAGAGGAGCACAGTCCCAGGGCAGGCACCACTTACCACCTTCTCCTTGGAGCGCAGCACCCCCAGCTTCCCGAAGCGCACGTGGAACGGGGAGCACTGGAAGGAGTTGTCAGGCTGTCTCACCACCACCACATCGATGCAGCCTGTCAGGGTGGCAGGGTTCAGGCCCCGGTACAGCTCCTTCATGGTGACAAAGACTGTCTCAGCAAGATGTCCCACGTAGTTCATTGTTTGAGACTGCAAATGAGAGATAGGAACAGACTCTGGTAGGGAAAAAGGGATCCAGAAGATAAACACAACGTGAGGTTACTCTAGGAGAGTCATTTCACAGCTGCAGACACAGCCCCATCACGGGGACATGTAGGCCTCTAGGGAAACTGAGGCAGACACATGAAGGGCCCTGATGGAGATAAGCCAGGGCCCCTGTGACCATCAGAAAGCAGACAGAAGCCAGGGCACTGGTTTTGCACCCAACTTGGAGAACAGAGACCTTTGCCATTGGGGTGCACCATCACATCTGCCCCTTAGGAGGGCAAGTAGCTGCTCACAGCAACACTTTGCAATCGAGCTGTCAGCATCCTGTTGACACAGCCCTTGTTAAAGCCAGAACTCCCTGCTCTCCATGCCTTGGTCTCTGCTGCCATCATTTCCAGGCAATTCCAGCAAAGGGGCTGTGCTGCCCAGAGGACACCCAGACAGCTCTGCAATGCCATTTGCACTGCTGCATGCCAAGGCTTCCCAGCTCCTGGGTTTCATTAGCAGGAACCCATGGAAGGAAAGCCTTGCTTGCTTCCTGCTCATCCCCTTGCCTGCTCACATCCTTCAGCTGCTCACAGTTCCCCTCTGCTGTGCTGGAGCAGAGGCACTGCTGCAAAGCTGGAGATTCATATGGTCCATGCAGGGGTTCACAGCACAGCTCTGCCTCTGGCCACATGAGGTGGCACACGGGCTCCAAATAGCTCTCATACAGCCCTCTTCCTGCAGGCTACTGCTAGCAGCTGCCTCCTGGTCAATGCAGTGAAACCCCCAGAGCATTTTCTTGCAGGTCAGTGTTGGGGTGCTGCTCCCAGCCCCTGGGCCAGAGGAGCCCATTGCTCTGCTTGCTCAGCACTCTCCAGCAGCAGGAGAACAGTCTTGGAGTCAGTGCACCAGCTGGGCCCAGCCTCCTGAGCTGCCAGCTCTGCACCCCCTCTTGCCACAAGGAGGGCACAAGGACACAGGATGACCACGTTCCAAATGACCACAAACGAACTACAGGAAACTTCTTGTGCAGGCAGCACCATCAGCCATGACACGGTGACCCCAAAGGCCCTCAGCACACCCCCAGCCCGAGGGGTGGCCATGAGAGCTGGTTCCTTACCCAAAGGGAGGAGGACAAGCAGGTGCCACCCGACGAGCCCCGTGCCCCAGCAGGCTGCCAGCCTCTCCGCTCCATCCTGCACAAGCTCAGCCCCATCCCTTGCCCTGACATCCCTCCAGGAAGGCTGGCTGCACAGGGAGACGTGGTCCCTGCTCCATGTTGTGTGTCCCCCCCCTCTCCCTGACAGCTGGGAACAAGCCTGAAGCTCAGATCCTCTGGAGGGAAGGAGAGCAGGGGAGCCCTGGCCGGCTCCCGAAGCTTCGGTGCCGCCATCAGCTCCGCCGTGAGCAGGGCCAGGGTCACGGGGCCACTCAGCATCCTGCTGATCCCAGCTTTCCCGGGCATCCCTGCGTGTGGGCAGCCGTCCAGTTGCCCTTCCCACCACGCTGCAGGGCCTGGCAGCAAACAGGAGACAGGTCCTGGCTGCAAAGGGGGATTTGTAGAGAGCGGGAACAACCAGGCTGGCCAATGTCCCCAGGGCAGCACTGGCAGGCTGGGGTGTACATTGAGACAGACCCAAAAAGGGCCCAGGGAAAATGCCAGGCAGCAGGAAGAGGATGGCACTGGGACAGTTCAGCTCAGGGAGCTTAACTCCCTGTGGGTTTCACCCAGGACAGGCAGGGAACAGAGAGAAGAGGTTCAGACTTCTCACAGCCCCACCATGGATGGAGCAGGTCAGGGAGGTGAAGAATAAGTTACACACTGGAGAAATCAATATGTGGACAGGGCAGGAGAAAGGGTTTTCTAGGACATAAAGCCACAATGAACAAACAAAGCCTACAGACAAACCGGGCATCCCCATCCCTCAGCCCCAGAAGCAGCAGGACCACAGCCCTTCACCACGCAGCTCTCATAGAGGAACAATCCTCCCCTGGGGAGGCAACGCAGCTCACACCCCCACCTCCCAGCTTCCCAAAATATGCCAGGCTTTTCAGTAACACCAGCCTGCTCTGCTTCAAGGTAGCAGAAGCTGGGACACCCCACAAGCAGCTGGGACACCCCACAAGCAGCTGGGACACCCTCCCCATCCATCACACCACCCAGCACCTTCCCCCTTACCTGGGCAGCTGCTGAACTTTGGCACTTGCTCTCTGCCAGCAGAAACACTCTCACCTTCAGCTCCTCCTCTCCCTACCACTTCCTTCCTCTCACCTGAGCGAGGGGAGGGCCCTGCCTCCTAAGCAGCACCCACTCCCACGCCGTGCCACCCGCGGTGCTTATGAAGGCTCCCGGGAGGCGGGGGGTGGATCTGGGGCTGCTGGGTCTCATCACAACCTGCTCGTTTGCTCCAGCAGCTCCGGCAAGAGCTGCCAACTGCTTTCCACTGATGGGAGACCCTTCTTCCCACCTTCTCCAACCCACCATCCTGCAAGACCCCTGCAGCCGGACCCAGCGGGCTGGAATTTCCGAAGCCAATTCTTCTTTTGTTTTCCAGACTAGATCTGTCAGCGTTTAACAGCTCAGAGCACGAACTACACAAACCCTCAGCTCTCAGGACTCCAGGGCAGACTGAGCCCTCTGGAAAAGGTGCTGGCAGAGCCTGCATCTGCAGCTCTGGGAAAGATCTGCCCTTCAAAATCTGCCTTGCAGTGGCTGGGGAGCATCCTCAAACAGCCGTGGAGAAGCTGAGCCCACTCCAGAGTGCAAAGTACCTCGCTAAGGAGCCCCCTGATTTCTCCCTCCTCCATTGGGCTATAGGGACTGCTATAGGTTCCTGTGGACTAGGACCATGAAGGGTGGGTAAGGTGGTAATTGCTGTGTTGCTCACTTAATTGCTGCTGGACTTAAGACTGCATGAACCTTGGCCAGGTTTGCACTGGGAGGTGCTGGTGTGCATGGTCCTCGTAGGGTGGAATGAGGCTTCACCAGAACCCGAGGCTTGGGGGGATTTTGAGGGATCATTTCAGCTGCCCCCCAGTAACTGCAAGCATATGGTACCTGTATGCAGCACTGAGCACAACCTGGACATGAGGTCCCAGACCCAATATGGGAACTTTCCTGAAAACTGTGACAAGTCACTTAAGGATTTTATTTTTTTTTCTGTTTTCCAGCAACTTCATATTTCTAAGAGCTCTACCCTTAGTGAAATTGGACCTAAAGCAGCTGTGGGTGGCCAGGCAGGGCTGCAGCCCCCAGGGAGGGCTGCTGATCCCCAGAGGGGCTTGTGGGGAGCCCAGGACAGGCAGCTGCCACCAAACCCTGCACCCCATGGCCAGGGCATCAGGCACTCATGCCTGGTAAGAAAGGAGCCTGCTGTAACCTCAGTCCAGACACCTTGGGAGGGGACATCTCAGGTGCTTTGTCTTTTTCACTGCATCAGACTGATCTCGGGTGAGTGGGCAGTGGTTTCCACCTTGCAAACCCTGGAGCTGCAACACAGACCCCAGGGCTGGAATACGAAAGGGCACACCTGGACTTGTCCCCCAGTAGATTCCCAGCTGGGCCATGGCCACACTTGGTGACTTCCACATCTCCCTCTGTGCCATCCTGCAATGCAGCCCCAGGGCATTTTACTTGCTCCTTTCTCCTCCAAAAAAACAGACTTAAAATGCTTTTAACTGGCACGGTAATTTTTTCAAAGCCATACAATTCTTGGTTCCTGCCATACCCTCTCATGTTCCCTCTCAATTTCTTTTAGGTGGGCCCTGCAGATCCATCACCCCCTGTGCATCCTCTCCCCAGGAGCTACTTCAACTGGGAAACGTTTCTTCCCCCTTTTGGAGACTCCACAACCCACAGATGTTTGCAATGAGCCCTTGCAAAACGAGACTGCTTTTTTTATTAGTCAACTGAGAGGCAGTACTTCCAGCTCCCTGCATTCCAATGGAAAAGCAAAGCTCACGCCCATGTCCTGCATCCCTGGTGTTCCTCACCCATTGGGATCCCAGCTTTTGCCCTGCCTGGGGTACCCACACTCTGCCCTTGGTGCTCCCTGGCAGGTTCTGCCATCCCCCTCTGGCTGGCAGTGCTGCAAGCCACGATCCCAGTGTTCCCACTCCAGAAAAACTCCATCCATCCACTCGGCAGTTGGGAGCACCCCAGGCATTGGCTGCCCAGGAGACTCCTAAATTTTCCACTGTCCCAGAAAAACAAGTTGTGTCTTCAGTTGCAGGGTGGGAGAGGGGGCAAACTGTGTCAAAGACAGGCTTGTTTTTCCCCCTCTTTGTATTTCAACAGCTGCTGCAGACAAGCCAGGCCACAGCCAAGTCTTCAGCTGCCTCCAAGGTGGGGGTTGATGGGGATTTTGCACCCTCCCTTTGTCATAAAATTCTTTCTCCAGGATTTTCCCAGCTCTTAAGCTTGCCTTTGAGAAGCCCAGCAGTCCCACAGGATGTTTTTCCTTGGATTTCCCCCCCTTCCCTTGCTGCCTGATTCTTCATGGGCTTAGGGTGAAATGTCTGGGGAGAGGACATAAGGACCAGCTGTAAGAGACCCAGGAAGGTGGCCAACCCACCAGCCTCCATGCTGGCTGAGACCTGACACAGCTCAGCTCATCAGAGATGCTGCAGAGGAGCAAGATGCTCTCCCAGACAGAAGAGGAACCGAGTTGACAGAAAGGGTCACTGCTGAGCAAAGAAGTGAAGCTGGGGCTGGGATGTGAGCAATTCTTCCAGCCACGGGGTTTAGCTGGGAGCACCAGGACCATGGATGGATGAAGTCCACCTGCCAAATTCTCTTCCCCAGGAGCCAGGAATCCATGTTCTCCTGCCTCCTTTCCCACACTGGAAGGATGCCCCAGGACCTCACTGCTCTGGCACACAAGCTGATGGCCACTAGCCTGGCTCCTTTCTCCCTGAGCCTGCCTGTCCTTTAACTTCCCCACTGTCCCTCTTACACTGGGTGTGTCCCGAGATGCCAACAAAACCCA